AGAGAAAGATTAGATAAGAGGAAGCAACAAATTGGCTCAGATTTGAGAACTGGACAAAACTTCAGAAATTCAAAGAAAGTGAATAGATTTTCTTTGTGATACGGTACATTCTGGTTCCAAATGGAAGCAGACACTTAAGAAGGGCTATTCCTGTTTTCTGTCTGGGTTTGGACATACCCCAAACACCATTTGAAAATCTTGCGGGAAGAGTCTACTTCCAGGACACACCTAGCAGCACACCCAACAAGTTCAGTGCTCAAAGCCTTCACATTTCTGGATGCTCATCAAGCTAGAACCTTTTGTACCCGTTTTCCATCCCCTCCATCAAGAAAATTCCCCTCTTCACACCTTTGAGAAACAGAAAAAGTCGGGGTCTTCTAAAGGCTTCAAGTGTCACAAAACACTTTAATTCCACAGTGAGATAGGCAATAATGGTACCTAGGCTCTCCTGATGCATTTTTTGCAGAGTGTTTGGTGACGAACTTGCTCAAAGAGTCTCTCTTTCCGTGCTTTTCCTCTAGGGGGATTTTCTGGTGGTAAAGCCTTGCGAGATACACACAGCTACCTCCCTCGCCTGCGACGCTGGGTGGGTAACCGGGCTATGACCTTTGCCCGATGCGAACATGGAATGGCCACAGTCAAAGACAGAATCTTCTGTATTGGAGGAAGGACTCTAAATGCTGTAAGTTTGTTTGTTTTAAATGATCAAGCTAACCTGAAATGCAGTCTTTGCAACTAGAGCTCCTGACTGGTCACTGCATCACTCCAGATCAGGAGTGGGCAAAATCTGGCCTGCCAAATGATTTTGCCTGACCTGCAGCTGCTTCTCTGAAAAGAACTGTATCTGGGCAGTGACTGCCCTGGATTTCAGTGCTTCTTGCCCTTCTCCCTTCCCCATGCCAGTCAGCAGCAGCAGCAGCCGCCGCCACCACTCTCCTCCCCTCCCTGGCTGGCCCACCCCATCCTGCACTCAGCCCCCAGTGTAAACTGCAAGGCAGAGGGCACTCAGCTCCTGGCCAGGCTTCTGCCTGGCAAGGCTGTCTGCACACTGCTCTGACCCTGTGCCCAGTAATTTGGAGCTCAAGCAAGGTTTTCCCCACTGGCAGGGGAAAGAGGTGCAAGGGGAAGATGGCCAGAAGCCACAAGTTATCCGAGTCCTGCTGGGCCAGGGCCTGAAAGGGGCATGGACACTGCTACCATGCTGTGTTTCCATGAGCCACTTCTGGCTGCGTCATGTGAGCAGAGCTGGAGCAGCTAGTGCAGCTCCTGGCTGACCAGGTGTCCCCACTCCCTAGCATGCAGCTGGGTTGGGCAGGAGCCATGCCAGCTGCATCCACGTGGTGTGGCCCAAAGCAGTACACAGGCGCACAGCACAGCGCCAGTGTGGCTGTGTGCTGTGGACTCAGGGTAAGGGAGAAGGGGGAAAAACACAATGCAGCACCTGCTTGGCCAGGTCCAGATAATCTACAGATCTCAGCCCCTCTCTCCCTGCACCCTCTCCCCAACCCCAAGTCCCTGGCATGTGGCTGGGCCGGTGCTATGCTGCGTTCTCTCATACTGTCTCAAGCCACATGGGTGCAGCTGGCATGGCTCCTGTCTGCCCCAGCCACAGGCCGGGGACTCAGGACAGGGAAAGGGGTGCAGAGAGAAAGGGGCCAGGAGCCATGGGTCATCCAGGCCTGGTCAGGCCAGTGCCATGCTCTGTTTTGCCCTTTCTCCTTGCATCCCCTCCCCAACCCTGAGTCCCCAGCATGTGGCTGAGTCAGGCAGGAGCCATGCTAGCTGCACCCACATGGCCCAAGGTGACAGAAGGGAACACAGCAGAGTACTGGCCTGGCCTGGCCACATGCCAGGAACAAGTAGGGAACAAAGGTTCGGTTCCCCTAACCTTTGTTCTCTCTGCCCAGGGGTGGGCAATTATTTGGGCTGGAGGGCCACTGAGGGAGTTCTGGTGAGCTGCTGCAAGTGTGTGTGTGTGTGTGTGTGTGTGTGTGTGTGTGTGTGTGGGTGTGTGTGTGTGTGTG